CTAGGTGAGCCACATCACAGGGATCGTACACAGAACTGTTCCTCAGGGATCTAATGATCCCAGGCACCACAGAACACTGAACATGCTGGTGGCACTAAATTCCAGTTAAGATTAGCATTCATTGTGACAGTGAAAAACAAGTTGGGACAGGAGCAAAGGTTCTTATAGCCCCACCCAACATAGGCACCCTGGTCCACATACATATGCAAGTCTGTCCATGCATATAATGTGATATGGCACCTTCTTGGCCTTAGCTAGCCCATGTTAAAGTTTAGGCTGACTCTAGTCTCTGAAATTATCAAGCAGTTGTCCCAAGGTATGGGAACACACGTCAGCAAGACCCCAGTTGTCTTGGGAACAGGTCAGCATGTACCGGAGTGCACCTGCTAACTGCAGATTTATGGCTTCTGTAGGTTATGCTTGGCTTGCTTCTACAAAATAGTAATTGTTACTTAATAGAATAGAAATTATTCAGGGGGCTTTGTACCTGTAAGCTTGGGAACTTAAACTTCACCCCTGGTTATGGTTTCTCTGTATAAAAGCTTACCCTAGAGATGATTCGGAGGTACACATTTGGGTTCCAACACCTTTGTGTAGTCTCAGACCAGCAAGACTTTCGTTCAGCAAAACTTTGAGTAATCGTCTCTGGTGAAGCACCCTACAACAATGAACCCAGGTGTTTGTATATATTTACATCTGCATATAGAAATCACCTCCAGTCTCATGACAATGCTGAAAAGTGGGTACTGTTCTATAAATTATTAGTTGGAGACTGGAGAGATGGCTCAGTGGCTAAGAGGACTTGCTGCTGTTCCAGAGGACCCTAGTTTGGTTCCCAGCATCCATATCAGACAGCTCACAACGACCTGTAACTTCAAATCCAGGGGATCTGATGCCCTCTTCTGGGCCCTGTGGGATCTGCACACCTGGTCTTCACGCACACATACACACATATACATACATAAAAATAAATATTTTGGGGCTGGAGAGATGGCTCAGCAGTTAAGAGCACTGACTGCTCTTGCAGAGGACCCAGATTCGATTCCCAGCACCTACATGGTGCCTACGAACCATCCTTAACGCCAGTTCCAGGGGACTCTGAAGCCCTCTTCTGACCTCTGCAGCATTGTACTACCAGGTGCACTCACATACATGCAGGCAATACACTCATACACATAAAATAAAAATAATAAATAAAATATTTTTTAAAAAATAAATATTAAAAAAAATTATTAGTGTATATTGATTCCACAAATGCTGGGTTTCATGATGACAAGTGCGTTAATGTGCATCACATACTTTGTTCATACACCGCACGTCACCCTTTCTTGTCCCTCCTCCTGCTGGTCCCCTTCCTCCTCCAAGTATTTTCCATTCTACTTGCATGTCTCATATATAGTCATATGTCATATGTGTGCATGTATAGAGTCATATGTCAGCGTGTGTGAGTGCAAGCATATTCATGCCACAGCACGTGTGTGAAGGTCAGTAGACAACCTCAACTGTTGTTCCCTGCCCTGGAGGCCCAGTGTCTCCTGTTTCGGCCTCCTCTCTCCCCTGCTACCCGGACCGGCTTTAGATGGATTCTAAAGATTCCAACTCAGGGCCCCACACTTCCAGGGGAGGTGCATCCCAGTGAGATATCTCCCTGCTCTTACATAATATATTTTATTTATTATTATTTTTTTGGTCTTTTTGAGACAGAGTCTTCCTGTAGCCCCAGCTGTCCTGGAACTCACTATGTAGACCAGGCTGGCCTTGAACTCACAGAAATCCGCCTGCCTCTGCCTCCCGAGTGCTGGGATTAAAGGCGTGCACCACCACGCCTGGCCTTATTTATTTATTATTTTTTAAAACTTATCTTTTTGGGATTTATTTTTAAGTGTTTTTTATTGAATTTTTAGGAATTTCATACACTATATTTTGATCACGTTCAGATCCCCTCTTCTATCTGCACCCCACTTACCCCTCCACACGATTTTTTTTTTTAAGACTATGGAGTCTAATCTGTGTCCCCAAATACCCTCCAGTATGGATCCATCCCTTGGAGCCTGGTCAACCTACTCAGTGTTTCACACCCTTAAAGAAAACTGACTCTTTCCCATCAGCTGTCATTTGCCAACAGTTCCTCAGCTAAGATGGAGGCTTCTTGTCCATTTGACCCCTGCTCAACAGCTTCAAAAGAGGGAACCAGTTCTTGGCACTGGACTTATTATTTGCTAGCCTATGGTGTCCAGTAGAGATATTGTCCCCTGTTATAGGATAACTCCATGTAAACTCTTTTTTAAAATATTTTATTTTGTATTTTGTTTGTATGAGTGTATTGCCTGCATGAACGTAAATGCATCCACATCGTGCAATACCCGCAGAGGTCAGAAGAGGGTGTCAAATCCCCTGGAACTGGAGTTACATGGTTGTTAGCCACCCTATGGGTGCTGGAAATCAAACCCAGGTTCTCTGCAAGAGCAGCCAGTGCTCTTAACCACTGAGCCAATCTCTCCAGTCACATCCACTTAAACTCTTTATATTGTATATTTATATAGGTTAAGAAGTTTCTATAATGGTTATAGCTATCCCTCCCCATAGTCTCTCCTCTGACCTGTCCCCCCATTCCCCACTCCATTTAACACTTCCTACCCCATTACTCCCATCCCCCTTTATGTCATTGCATTCTGTCTCCCCCTCCATGAAGCCTCCCTCCCATGGCCCCTTACTAGTTTCCTGACATCTATACAGTTTCTAATTGAAACATGCATATCTAAAGATTCAAAACTAACATCCACTATGAAAGAGAACATGTGATGTTTGTCTTTCTGGGTCTGGGTTCTCTCACTCAGGATGATTGCTTCCAGTTCCATCCATTTACCTGTGAATTTCATAGTATTGTGAGTGAATGAATGAATGAATGAATGAACGAACGAATGAACGAACTAAAAAATTCACACATGGGCAGATGACTTGGAACTTTTGTGGCAGGAGGAGAACTGAGGCAACTCTGCCAGGCCCCTGAAGGGAGAGAAGTCTGTGATCTGGCACAGAGGCATCAGGATCTATCAGAGAACCTGCAGCTGGCCCAGAAACTGCTCATTTCTGTAAGAACTGTTTGGAGGTCAGACATGGAGGAAGGGGTCAGACAAGGTGAGGAGGGAGGGGAGCCCCCAGCTGCCTGATCAGGGCCTCAGAATCTGACACCTGACCATCACAGGTAACTGCTACAGATCAAAATCTGGTGGGAAAAAACAAGAACAACAATAACAACAACAACAAAACACACCCAGGTGTGGTGGCCCACTGCTTCAATTCTAGCACTCAGAAAGCAGAAGTAGGTAGATCTCTGAGTTCAAGACCAGCCTGGTCTACAAAGTAAGTTCCAGCCCTACCAGGGCTACAAAGTGAGACCCTGTCTCAGAACAAAGCAAAAAAAATCTGGTGGGGAAGGGTCTAGGACCAAGCATAGGGATAGATGTAGGTGGATGGGACTGCTACCTCCTACCCTCAACACCCCTCCAGCAGGTTCCTGGCAGGGGAAGGGCCTTCCCAAAGGATCCGTAACAGCTGATGGATGAGAGTCACATGCTGACTGAGTAAGCTTGCTCTGACTCAGTACCTGGGCCCCAGTTTCCACTCCTGGAGATACAGTTCTGGATTCTGAGTATTCTTCCCAGAAACCTCTGGGAATCCACCACTACAATGCCCATGAGAGAAGCTCACTGGCTCCCACCAAACCCCATGCAGGTCACCTGTGGAGCCAGGGAGTAACAAGACAAGGCAGTTTCATTGGATAAGCTGGAAGCCTGTATGCTGGATAGCTTTAGTGTCAACTTGACACACCTGGGTTGAGGGAGCCTCAGTTGGGGAATTTCCTCTATTGGACTGGCCTGTGGCCATGTCTGAGGGGCATCTTCTTTTGATGAGTGATGTGGGCAGGCCCAGCCCACTGTGGGTGGAGCCACCCCTGGGCAGGTGGGCCTGTGTTGCATAAGAAAGCAGGCTGAGCAGGGGCCAGGGGAGAAAGCCAGTAAGCAGCATTCCTCCATGGCCTGTGCTCCAGCTCCTGCCTCCAGGTTCCTGCCCTGAGTTCCCACCTTGGGCTCCCTGATGAACTGTGACCCGGGATGTAAGCTAAATAAACCCTTTCTTTCCCAAGTTGGTATTGGTCAAAGTGTTTTGTCACAGCAATGAAGAAACAAACTAGGACAGCCTGCAACTCGAGTGACTGTGGACTCGAGGTTGTAAGTGCAAGAATGTGCTATAAGTGGACTTGAACAGGAAGGAAGATTTAGTGATGGTTTTTGTTTTTTCATTTATTCTATGTGTCACCCAAGCACCTTTACCCACTGAGCCATCTGACTGGCCCTAGAAGGGTTTTTTTTCCTCGCATTTATTTGTGCGTGTGTGTGTGTGTGTGTGTGTGTGTGTGTGTGTGTGTTGTGTGTGTTTGTACTCGTGAATGCTTGCCAAAACACGCATATGGAGGTTAGAGAACAACCTGCAGGAGTCTGTTCTCTCCTTCACCATGTGAGTCCCAGGGATCGAACTAAGGTTGTCAGGCTCGACAGTGAAGCACCTTTACCCACTGAGCCATCTCACTGGTCATGGTAGAGGGTTTTTATAGTTTTTTAAATTGTGGTAAAATATACATATCATACAATTTGCTATTTTTACCATTGCTCCCTTTTTTATTATTATATGCATGAATGTACGTGTGTGTTTATAAAAGGTGAGGGATTTGCATGCCATGACACACATGTGGAGGTCAGAAGACAACCTGCAAGAAATGGTTCTCTCCTCCCACCATGAAGGTTCTGGGGACTGAACTCAGGTTGTCATGCTTGGCAACAGGCGTCTTTACCTTCTGAACCATCTTGACTGCCCGTTTTTACCATTTTTTGAGTATACAATTCCACGACATCAAAAATACTGATAGTACTGTGCCACCTCCTGTTTCCTGCCATTTGCATCATCCCAAGCAGAAACTGACCCATTCATCAATAGTTTTGATCACATTTTATAATGACAAGGTAAAGAGGGTGATCTGGGCTTCAGGCAGGGCTTGCTGTAAGTGCACGACTCCATTCTGTGCCCCTACTTCCCCCTGAGTTCGGATATCTCTTTGGGATGTCAAGATGATTGATAGGTCTTCAGCTCACCACATGCACAGCACCAAAGCCACTGGAGAGAGAAAGGAGTGTTTTGTGACAGTTGCTCAAGGAAAGGGCACAGGTTCCCTGGAGTTGGCCGAGGTCCTATGATGCCCCTCCCCCTTGACCAATGGTTGGAGCCAACTGCATGAATAGTGGGAAGTTCAGAGCTGTGTCCTGAGAGAACTGTTGGGTAGTGAGTGCAGCACAGGCCCACATCCCCCATTGTCCTTACCACTGTGGGAAGCTGGCTCAGTGAGGATTAGGGGATCAGCCAGGATCATGCCGCTGTCTCATGAACCCCACGGTTTATCCTTCCCTCTCCCCCCTTCCAGATTCCAGAGACTGACAGCCACAGCTGCTGTCAGCCTACCCCCTCCACATGTGCAGAGCTCTTGAAGCCCTTGGGGGCCTTGAATGGGAGATGAAAATACCGCCAGCTCTGCCTCCATAGGGGGTGACTCACATTCCCCAAGTTCTTGTCCACCTGAAACCTCAGATTGTGGCTTTCCTTAGACTCATCAGGTGAGGGTCATGAACTGAGGTCAGGAGTTACAGGCCCTAAGTCAGCGACTGAGACCTTGATGGAGAGAGAGGGACACAGAGGACTAGCAGGGTTGTAGAGATGGGGCAAGGATGGAGAGATGCAGCAGCACACTGGGGCTTCTCACCCAGACATCACAGATCACAGCCCTGACTACTTCTTGACTCCTGGCTTCTGCCCTTGAGAATTGGACACAAACACATTCCTGTTCTATGCCACACAGTGTGTGCTGATCTGAACAGCAGTTTTAGGGACGAGATCAGACAGATGAGCTGACTGTGTGGTCCTGATCACCACCACCCTATAAAACATCAACTTGAGGTAGGTAAGATGGCTCAGTGGGTAAAGGTGTTTGCTGCCAAGCCTTGCAACCTGAGTTGGATCCCCTCTCCCATATAGTGGAAGGAGAAAACCAATTCCTACAAGTTGTCCTCTGACCTCCACACACATGCCAGGGCATGCTTGTGCTCCATTCACCCACAAATTAATTAGGTAACCAAAATAATTAAAACATTAATTTGCTCAACTGTGAGTGGGAGCGTCTAAGTGTCAGTACTGGACATGTAATGCAATGGAAGGAAAGGGACCTGGCATCAGGACTGAGAAAGACCTAAGCAAGGAGGTGACATCTGAGGCAAGGCGAGGAGGATGTCACCTGTGTTCCAGGTAGAGAGCCAGCAGCATCAGTCGGGGGAAAGAGGGTGACCATGAGCTAGGAACATCAGGGGTCAGGGAGCAGCCAGAGAACCCTGGAGGATGGTGGGGACAGGGTTTCCATCCTCTCTAGGAATGGGTTTCTGGACTCTGCTCCTGTGTGGATGAAGCAGGCTGACTTGGATTTTGTCATACAGGTAACCAGGGAGGAGACCCGAGAAGAATGCTCGGGGACATAGAGGAGTTCCTTGCAGTACCAGACAGCAGTTGCAACACCCGAGCAGTGATGGGCACGGGAGGGGACAGGGATGGAACAGACCTAAGCCTCTTACGTACATCAGCCTGTGGTGCTCAGGCCTTTCCTTTCCTCATAGCCTCACAGGGAGCTGGCTATCTGGCCTCCTTCCCTGCAGACCCAGGCAAGGGGGTTGGTGGCAAGTACTGGGTTTCTCTTGGGTTCCAATGCACACTAAGGATGTTTTGGGTGATTTGCAGACATTGGATGTGGCCTCAAGTGGACCTGGGACAGATCCCAACCCAGGAAGGCAGAGGTCCAGCACCCAGCTCCCCCGTTTGCCTGCTGTGTGACCCTGGGCAAGTGCTCAGCCTCTGTGGCTGGGCTTCCTGGTCTGTTAATGGAGCAATGACTATGGGAGCTGTGATGAGGTGCCAAGAGGACCCTGTGCCTGCTGGCCGGGTTACTCTTACTGCTTTTGTGATTACTGGCCAGTCCTCTGCATTCAAACCATGGGGCAGAACATCATCCAAATGACTACTCCAACTACTTGCACTGTCTTCAGGGGTTCTGAGGGTTGAGTAGACTGGACAATGCGGGTGGCAGTGGAGGTGAAGCCTCCACTCTCCCCAACCATCAGCCCCAGTTGATGGAGGCATCTCCAAGGAGCTCAGCTCTTGTTACCCAAGCCTATCCCATTTGACCCCCACCTCCTCATCAGCATCTGGATATCTGCATAGTGTGTGTCCAGCACAGCACAGTGTAGGAGCAGTTTTAGGGATTGGAGATGCAGGGTCAGCTAGCCCAAATCCCCTGGTATCTCGGGAAATGTTGGGAGAGACACACAGAACACAGGACTTAGCAGACACTTGACACGGAGGTCAGTGGCAAGAAGGAATGATAAGAGGAGAAAAGGAAGGAAGGAGGCTGGAAGCAAAGGAGACACTTCCAGATGACAGCTGGACAAAGCCCAGGCCTGAAAAGGGTCAAGACCAGGCTATCTGGAGCAAAGCTAGCAATGGGAGCCAGGACTCCAGCCAGGGTGAGAGGTGCCAGCCCCTAGGGTGTTTGGGGGAAAGGAGCTCTTGTGAATAGTGGTTTTCAGGCAGGCTCTGGGTCCCTGTGTAGATGTTTGGGGACTTGCCTTTCCAACCCCTACCTTGTACTTCCTCTGGTCTCTGTGTTGGATAACTTTACTCCATGGATGGTATGCAGAGATCAGCAGGGGCAGAGATGAACCGTCTGGTGAGCTGAGCAGGAACGAGGCCTCCAAACATCCCACTCAAAAAAACAGGGTGGCAAAGATGCCTCTCTAGGCTAAACCTGCCCCCCAACCCCATTCCCTCCTCAGGTTGCCCTAAAAGAAGGCTGTGGAACATCTGGAGTTCATTAGGATCTCAGCAGCCCCTCCGATGGACGTTTTGACTTGTCCCTTGGATGGCGCTTCTTATCCATTAAGTGTTTATTTTCCAATAAAGATTCTTAAGTGAAGATTGCTGCCCTAGCCTCTCTGAAGGCAGAGAGGAGACACAGGCATACCCCACTGACCAGGGGCTCTTGGGCCTCCTGGTGGTGGGGAGGGGGTCAGTGGAATCTTCCAGACATGGCTCAAGGTGAGGCCCAACGCTCTCATGACATTTTACCTAAACAAAAACACCATCTTCCTGATTGTTCTGTAGTAACATCTCCATAATAGCAGTCCACATTCACCATGTTAGGAAGGGTCCCAAATACCCCATTGTCTGAAGGCAGATGGGAGCCATGCGGGGTGTCAGAGAGCAGAGGAGTGACACTGCTGGCTTACATTTTTAAAAGATTATGGCTGCCCAGTGCCAATAGACTTTGGATGATACTGAGGGAAGGTTGGGAGTAGAACGAGCAGTTGGGAGGCTGCTACCATGTTGAGACCTATCAGGTTGGAAGTTTGAATGTTAACACACAGTCTCCAGATGGTGACACTATGGAAGATGGTTGGATCATGAGGGCTTCACCTTCATCAGTGAATCCCCTGATTTATAATCTAAGGCATTCTTGGGAAATGATGGGAACCAGGAGGTGGAGCCTAGTTGGAGAAGTAGGTCACTGGGGTGTGTCCTGGCCTTGTCCTTGAATACCCCCACCTCTGCTTCCTGGCAACCACAAGGTAAGCAGTCTTGTTCTGCCTTCCCCTTCATCCATGATGTTCTGCCTCCCTACCCTCCCACAAGCTCAGGAATAATGGAGTCAGCCAGAATCAATCCTCTTTTAAGTTGTTTTCTCAGATACTTGTCAAAGTGATGAGAAATGAGAGGTGGTGGCAATTTGGAGTGGGCAGAGGAGAGTGAATACACAGGTACCTGGGCTGTATGGGGGTGGGCCAATGGGAGGCAGAGATTATGCCTACTTCACAAGGGCGAGAGGAGTGGTGAAGAGGCAGCCACTGAAGGAAAGGTAGCTAAGCACAAGTGTGTAGTCGCAGCCAGAGTGTCCACACCTCACACAAGTCTCCACATAGCCAAGGCACTACAGGGGTAGCTTATCTATGAGTGTGTGTGATAAGGATCCTGTAGAGAGTCACTAGGCCTTTAGATGCTCTGCCAAGGGGAAAGGAGATGCCTTCCCATCACAGCCAGTGCAGGATGGTGACCAAGGACCAAAGCACCACAGACTGCCAGAAGCCTCCCATATCGCCTCACCCAGTGCCTTCCAACTGCACAGAAGCTTCCAAACTGACAGTCCACTTTGGGAAAGTGAAGGAACCTCAGCTTAGAGAAATTAAGATGTCATAGCTCCCCCAAAGTTAAGACTCTAGTGACATTTCCCCCAGAGAACTCCAAATTGTACACCCACATCTACAGACTGCCTTAGCTGAGATTGCAGTTTTGGTGAGCAGATTGGTCTCTTGTGGAGTGTGATGGGTAATCTTCTGTGTCAACTGGATTGAGAAATTACCAGGAGACACTCCATTGAGCATAGCTATAAGGGTGTTGTTTCAAAAAACTGAATGTAGACAGCACCATCTACACGCCTGTGCTTACACAGCAGGGGGTCTCAGGCTGGATAAAAAGGAAAACGGGCTGAGCACCAGCGTTCATCTCTCTACTGCCTGACTGAATATCGTGTGACCTGTTGCCTCAGGTCCTGCCACCATGATGGACCGTACCCTGGAACTTTGAGCCCGTATAAGTCCTTCCTTCCTTACGTTGCCTTTGTAAGATATTTGTCACAGCAACAAGAGAAGTAACTAAGACACGGGGTTTGGCAAACTTGGGCTGCGAAGGGGCCCAGAAAACATCCATTAGGTTTCCTAAGTGCACTTGCTGCCCTTTTTGGTGTCACCAGCTTGTAGCTCTTGGCATCACCATCATAACCCCAGGATTCTTCTGCTTGATTCATAGGTGAAAGCATCCAAAAAAAGGCTTTTCTGGGGTCATGCCTGAGCCTGAGGGGGACATAGCATGGGTCAGGGTTGTTGGACCACCTCTGGGAGGACGTGAGGTGTGCATCCCAGGCTCCCACTGAGCAGTCAGCTGCTACACTCCACTACAGGGCCTTGCCCACCTCAGTCTTTTGCTCTTAATACCTAGGCTGTACTTGACATGGTGATCTGCTTACACAGATAAGGTCTGTCCATCCTTGGTTTGCAAAACGTGGAGGTGCTCATCTCCCAGGTCATGGATGGGCATAGATCAGAACTATCTTACATGGAGAGGAATGGGGGGTGGGGGTGGGCACTGGAAAGCTTGGGGAAAGAGTGATCAGTTCCCAAACTTCCAAGGCCTTCCCTCTTCTCTCTCCATTTGGTCCCTGCAGTAACTACTCAATCTCAGTGAAAAAAAACGCCACAGACAACCCAGACAAAAGACAGGGCTGCATGCAAATAAAATTTTATTTGTAAACACAAGCAATGGCTGTGCTCTGTCTGCTCTTGCCCCATGGCATCCACAGAACAGGCAACAGGATCAGTAAATACTCGCTTATTTAATGACTGGATTTTGCCAATTGTAAGCTAGGAGGCCTTAGCAAATACCTTTTATCTGAGCCTCCATTTCTTTGTTTATAAAGTAAAAACAGCTGAGGGCTGGGTGAGGCGACGCACACCTTTAATCCCAGCACTAGGGAGGCAGAGGCAGAGGGATCTCTGTGAGTTCGAGGCCAGCGTGGTCTACATAGTGAGTTCCAGGATACCTGGGGCTACAGGAAGACCCTGTCTCAAAAAGACAAAAAAAAAAAAAATACATAGGGAGTTCTGGGCCAGCTGGGACCACACAGAGACCCTGTCTCAAATAAAAAAAAAAAAAAAAAAGAGAAAGAGAATTTCTTTTCTTGGTTACTTTCTTTGATATGTCTTCATCTATCTAAAATGTCTGGCCCCAAATAACTGAGGGTCTCTGACTTCCCCAAGTCCTTGGAGGACTCTGTCCAGTTTTCCCACCTGTTTCTGGTCCATCTTCCACAGCGTCTTCTTAATCAGGATTCTTCAGTTGCAAGTGACAGAAACTTAAACCAGCTATGACATAAAGAAATCTATTGGGTCATAAAAATAAAAGGCCAGGTAGACTATGGCTTCTAGAACATTCTAATAGCAAGCACCAAGGAATACAATTATCTCTGCATTTGAACTCGGCCTTCTGCGTGTATTTGTCAAGACTGCAGGAGAAAAACCCATGTTTAGCAATGTTTATCACTGTGCTTTGTCCTCTCATCCTGTGACATTCCCCTCAATGAGCTGGCAGGGTGGGCTAGCCTGGGCAGTGGGGGAGGACCAGAGGGGGAATCTACCGATGTCCCACATGCTAGCTGTGAGTCCCCAGAGCAGGTGGCTAAGAAGTGTTCTCTAAAAGAGGCCTCAAAATAAAATTCTAAGTGGCAGGGAGAGTGCAGAGATACAGCACTCATGAACTGCTCTGAGAAACCCTAGACACCAGCGGGGAGTTATCATTGCTGCAAGTGATTAGTGGCCAAGGGCTTTCATCACCCTTGAAGGAGCTGGAGCCTGGAGCCCACAGGATCTTGGGAAATGCCTGACTGAAAGTGAACAGAGAAAGGCCAAGTGCAGACCAGAAATAAAGCCTAGAGCTTAATGTGGTGGGAAACCTTAGAAGCCCTGTAAACATTTAGTGTTGGACCAGACTGCAGCTGGAATGTACCTGGGCTGGAAGCTTCATCCCAGGCAATCCGAGCACCCTGCTCTTTCACCTGAAGTCCACTAGTGTTATGAGGCAGCTTCCCAGTGGAAAAGAAGACTCCTTCTTGCCCAGACCTCCTGGTTTATGATGAGACATGGGCTTAGAGCTATATACACAGGTATATGATGCATAGAAACAGGAGGAAAGGAGCAGAGTAGAGGCTTCTAGCATTTTAGAGCTGGAAGGGGACTGCACAGGTGGCTCAGTGGGTAAGAGCATTTGCTGCACAAGCATGAGGACCTGAGTTCAAATCTCCAGCAGCCACACAAAAAGCCTAACATGACTACACATGCACCCGAGCACTACAGGGAGGACAGACACAGGAGACGCTGGGACGTGGTGGCTGTCAGCTTAGCTCCAGGTTCAGTGAGAGTCCCTGTCTCAAGGGAGTAAGGTGAAGAGTGATAGAACAGGACACCTGAAGTCTTCCTCTAGCTTCTGTGAACTCACAGGTGCTCCCCTCTGCACCCACATGTGCGCGCGCGCGCACACACACACGCACACTAGAGCTGGGAGTTTGCAGATCCTGCCCAACTCCCTGAGAAGTAAAGACTTAAAGCAGCCTGACAAAGGTCACACAACTAGGCATTGGCTTCAAAAAAGAATGAAGAGCCATTGAGGGAGAAGGTAAGGATGGGGTAGGAGAAGTCAGAAGGGTGGAGCTGGCAAAATGGCTCAGCAGATAAAGACACTTGCCACCAAGCCTGAGAAACGTTGAGTTCCACCTCTGGGACCCACATGGTAGAAGGAGAGAATCTATTCCTGTAAGTTGTCCTCTGACTGCCACATAGGGCACATGTGTATGTCCCAACCCCTAACACACACACAATAAACAAATAAATGCAATAGAAATTTTTAAAATAAAATATTGCACAACATGGGTACACTTATATACATATAGGCAATACATACACACACATAAAATAAAAAATAATAAATAAAATATTAAAAAAAGAAAAGAAAAGCCTTGTCAATAAACTAAAATAAAAATAAAGTTCTGTTTGTTTAAAAAAAAAAAAAAGAAAAAAGAACACGGGTGCTCTAAACTGACCACTCGCTAACTATGCTGAGCACTTTTTTTAGTGGCCAAATGTTGTTTATAAATTAGTCTTGCTCATAAACTCAGATGTTTTTGGCTTTCTGTTATTTTTTCTTGGGTCTCCAAGCCGCAAATTAACACAGCTGTGGAAAAACCAAATCCAGACCATCTTAAGGGTTCTATCCAAGGCCTGTACAAATATCCCAGGGCCTGGCGTAGCCAGAATTGTGGGGCATGAGGTACACTTAGCATGCTATGTTGTGGTTTGAATCTGAAATACCCCCACAAGCTCCTGCTGTTTTGGTAGGGCTGTGGAGCCTTTAGGTGGCAGGGCTAAGCAAGCTGCTGAAAGTGCCTGTCCTCCAGCTCTCCACATTGTGCTTCCTGGTCTGCTGTGATGTGAACAGCCTCCTCCACACACTCCTGAAGCCATGGATTCAGCGACTTCACCATGCCTGCCCCTCCATGAAGGATTGGCACCCTCTGAAACCATGAACCAAAAGAAATCTTCTTTCACTTGTTTCTCTCAGGTGCTATGATCACAGTACCATTAGTAGCTAACATGCCCTAGTTAATGAGGGTGCTTGCCACACATCCTCTCAGGGTAGGAAACCCTGATCACTCCTCATGCTATGATTAGGGGACAAAACCTTTAGTGAGGTGAGGAGACCCCTCTGGCTAGGCCCTGGATTTCTCAGATGCAACATGCAGCCATCAGCTCCAAGGGACATTGGTCAGGAAAAAGACTAAGGAACCTGACTACAGGGTTCAGATCACAGCTCTATTACAGTTATGCAAATTGGCAGCTGATTTACCTCTCTGTGCCTCCACATTTGTGAAATGAAGATTTTAACAGTTAGGATGAGGGTTAGGCAAGGTGCCTAAAATAGGCCCTGGCACAGATGATGCATCCAGCCGTTGGTGTAAGACAGATTTCTTTTCCCTTTCACTCACTCTAGTTTTGGAGCACCTTCCTTCTCTCTCCTGACTCTCCGACACCTGGCAATGGGCTGTCTGCCCAGGATCACAGGCTAAGAATCACAGCTGCTGGGAAAAGGGCTAGGTTCATTCCCTGCAGAGGCTTCACCTTGGCATTCTATACGTGTTTCTCTCTTTGGGAAAGAGGGACAGGGTCTCAGTGTGTGGACCCGCTGGTCTTGAACTCAGTTGTACCTCTGGAGTGCTTGGGTTACAGGCATGCACTAACATATCATTTGGGTATTTATCATAATCATTGGTGTGACTCCTGCTGGCCCCAGAATGAACGCCTGCTCTAGGTGATGGGGAGAGTAAACAGGCAGAGAGCAGACCTGAGGTGGCAGGGCAACCCAGAGGAGAGGAGGGGCCACTGCACCTCACCATGTTTGCTCTGGCCCTCCCCTAGCTTGGCTCCCTGCGTCTCTCTTACCCTCTTACTCAGAACTTTCTCCCCAGCCTACTGCTTCTCACTCAAGTAAGGTTTTTCCATGACCCAGATCAAACTTTATCAGCTAAGACTGAGTGGGTAAGTGGGGACACCGAAGTCTGCTAAGAAGCCGTGATGTGTCCTGGGTCACACAACAAGGCAAGAGTATACAGGAACCCAGACCTCTTGACACTTCCTCGGGAAGGGCGGCACAGTGGGCACATGGTCTGCACCAATGGCTGTCAGCTGGGGACCTTAATCCCACCTCTCAGTCCTGTGACCATGTCCAGACACAACTATGGTGTCCCCACTGGGGGTGCAGGGATGCAACTGGCGCTAACAGATGGAGACCAGGAATACTACTGAAAGACCTATGGTACTAAGGACAGCCCTGGTTGATGACAGACCAAGAATCCTGGGGCTAGAGCAGCACGTAGCACTGAGCCCTGCAGAGACAATTTCACTGGGTCCTCTTCTGCCAATGATAATAGGATTCAGGAAGTATTAGGCTGAACCTAGTGGCTGGTGAAATTCTTGTGACTGGTGGATGGTGGTGGATGTACAGGGTGAGGTACCACAGCCAAACTCCAGGAATTGGGACAGAGGACCACCATCTACCAAATGAAGCCAAGTGGCTCACTGGTGTCTGATAGAATTTTGAGTTTCTAGCCCCTCCCGCTGCCAGCATTTGAGAACCCGAGTGCTCATTTAAAAGAGGAAACTACATTACCGTTCTCCATGCAGATCTGAGCTTCCATTTTAATTTGCCTTCATTATCTCCTCCTCTTATTAAGCATGGTAAATCTGTTTTGTGTTTTCATTATTCCATTAGCTCGAGGAGGCTCATCAGTAATGTGGGGAGCTGCCAACATAAATAGCACAATTTTCATACGAGCGACGCAATAATTGGCTTAAATCGCTATTCTGTGGAGGCCACGGCTCACAATTAGAGAAAGAGGCGTGATTGGAAAACGAGTTACAATTGATTGGATTTCAGGGGAAACCAGGTTTGGAATGTGTTAATTGCATTCCGCCTAAACACCGACTCTAAATGAGACAGCCGGAGATTTGGGGAAATAACAAAATCTTCCCTAGAAACAGTTCCAAATTGCTTAATAGGATGGGAGAGATCTGATTAAGATGGGGGCTAATGGCCTCGTTGTGTTTCTGGGCAGCGGGCTGAAATTCTTGTCTTGCAAACTCTTGAAGAGAAGAGGGAACAAACTTAAGCCATTTTGCAGCCTGGCTGGGTTTGGAGGTCAGGTGTCTCTGGCACCTC